GGCAGCAGCTACCATGATCCCCAATTCTGAGCCAAAAGAGGAGGCCCAGCAGCTTTGTGGTCAGAGGTTCTAGGAGCTCCACAACCAATCCCTTGCTGTTAGGGCCACACACAGAGGGCTGATTCTCCAGAGCACATGCCAACCTAATTTTCAGTTAATTAAAAATTGGAGGTGGGGATAGCGGTGGGAGCAGGGATGCTACTGGTTAGTTGAGTGCTGCAGTAATCTTAAGTCAAAAAGATGCTGCCGTATAACATGGGTAAGCATCAAGTTGTCTAGAGGATCAGAAAATGCAGTACAAAGTAGGCATATAGGGAGATGTACAGAGGGAGTAACTCGTGTGTGGCCAGAACCAGGAATTGCATAGTGATCTGTGTTTTTAGGAGTCAGTGTGCATCAAGTTGGGCTGTTTTATTGTCTGATGGCTGAGAAAGAATGATGAAGGCATAGGCAGCACAGTTTCTCAGCAGGATGTGTGACACTGAGCTGTATTTTCTGGCCCCATGGGCTCAGGCATTGGAGAGGATGGCAAGCAGAAGTAAGACCCTATAGTGCTTTGGAGTGTGCATGGCAGTGCATTTGAAGGGCCCAGGTTGGCTATCTCAGACAAGGACTTCAAAAGAACAGGACAGTGCCTGTCCTCAGGCACCCAGGGCTCCCATAGAGGGCCCCAGAGGCAGAGCCCCAGCTGCCAGGCTGTCTGGTTTCAAATCCTGGGCCTGCTGCTTATGAGCTATACAACCTTGAAGGAAGCTACTTAACTTCTCTGTGCTTCAGCTTCCTCAGCTACGAAATGGGGATGATGATACTTACCTCATAAGGTTGATTGAAAGTTTAAAAAGTTAATACAGTAGAATAGTGCCTGACATTATTATTAAGTGTTGTGGACAATGGAGATGGGGGTGGGAGTTCGTCAGGGGATGGTGGAAGGGGAGCTACTGAAACAGACATGAAAGGTGGAGGTCTGCTTATGAGTTCACATTGACGTGCACCTGGGGACTTCCAGAAAGCCCTGAAAGAGGATGGGGATTGTCTGGGTGGAAACTAGAGCCAGCTGTTAGAGCTAACCTGAAAGTCTTTGCACATTCAGGTTTACAAGGCACTTCTGAGGAAGCCATGCTGTTCCAACAAGTCAGCTTTCTGACATGGCTGCTGGTCACAGGCCAGGAAATGGTTGATGTCCTGGTCTTGTTGCTTCTCAGGCCCAGGGCCAGGTCTAGTGCCCCATGATTAGGGGAGACAGGTAGGTATGTGCCCAAAGGAGAGATCTGGGAGCAATGCCTGGAGGAAGAGAGGAAAAGGGACTCTGGAAGGATGCATAAACTGCCTTCCTCCATCGGTAGGTTTTCACCCCACTATAGGCAGTTGTGGAGGGCAGAACTGAGGGGCAGTCATAGGGAGGAAGTACCAGCTTGACCAGCAAGCCAAACTGGCCAACCACAGCACAGATTTCCTTGAGAGGTGGGGAGTTCCTCTGTACAGAGCTACTTCTACAAACTCCCAAGATCCAACCCAGAAGACACTGATTTTATAGGCCTAGGTTGGCGGAGGAATCCAGGTTTAACAAGCTTCTAGGTAACTTTCTGGGGGGGTCACACTATGCAGAACTCTGCCTTCCTGGGAGGGAAGGGTCTCAGATGAGATCTAGTATTCCTTCTAGCTCTTAGCTCTGATGATCTGTCATTCTGTGGTCCCTTAAGGTCCCAGGCTTGTATCCTGACAGCTTTTATTGCTGCCAAAACCTCTTGGCTATAAGCTTATTCATTTGAGCCCCTCCCTGTTCTAGGGCCAACCCAGAAAACACACTCAGGACATAACCTCACTGAGTGCATTGTCCAGAAGCTTTATTTCTTTGTGGGTCTTGATTACAGCTTCTGATTAGGGACCTCAAGGATGTGTGTGTGTGTGTGTGTGTGTGTGTGTGTACGCATGCATGTAGAGAGAAAAACAGGATCTAGGTCTGCAGCTTTTGTGTTTTTGTGTGAGAAGTTCTCAGCTAGTGTTCATGTCAGTGATGGGAAATGGGGTCTGGGGTTTGAGGAGCTAGAAGTAGGACTGGACCCGGGGGAGCTGTAAACTCAGAAGGATGTTCTGGTTCTTTGCCTGCTTCACAGAGAAGGAGTTCACACGGTGCTAGGAATTTCAGCCAAATCCTCCTTGCCAACCCGGCTTTCCTGGCTGCCTGATTTCCGCTGCTCCCAGGAACTTGCACTCCAGCCCCTGGAGACTCCAGCCCTATTCACAAGGCCTGACCTTCCCCTGAGGCTGTGGCTGCCTGAGAAGCCCAATGTAGATGTCTGATGGGTCAAAGAGGGAAGTGTTCTTCACTGACAATGCCCATGGACTTCTGGAGCACTCAGGGAGGCCTAGTGCCTATCAGTAAGGGCAGAGAATATAAAGATACTACATCTGATGTCATCTTCAGTCTAGGGTTTAATCTGCCCCAGCCCCATGGTCCTGCAAGTCAAAAAGGTGCTACAGGGCTGGGCTGATCAGAGTCTAGGAGGCAGCCACTGACACTTGCCCAGAGGAAGAGATGAGGAAGCAGAGGCACAAAAAAGTTAACAGGCTCACAGGAGGTCTTTTGACCAGGATGTCAGGGAGCCCAGCTTGGTCTGACTCTAGAGTCCACATTCTTAAATCCTGTGTTAATGGTCCTCCCTTAAGGACCTGGGCATTAGCTCACCTGAAGTCCTCATGGGTCCTTCTCCTGCTGGGCTCCAGCAATGTAGAGGCTACGGGTATCACAAACACTTCCTTTATTGTCTTGACTTCCCAAAGGCACAGAGATAGAATCATGGCATTTGAAGGCCCTTCAGAAATCATGGGAGTCCATGCCCTCATGTTACAGAAGTCTGGTTCTGGTTCAAGGTCACAAGGAGAATGAGCCTGTGGAAAGCTGGAATCTGGAGCTCCTGCTATTCAGTTAGGGCTCTCTGACCCTCAAGTGTGTGATTAGCTCATGGGTTCCCTTCCCTGGCTTGGCTGTGCCTGGAAATTCATGCTCACCTCTGACCCATTGGAGCTGCACCTAGGTGTGATTTGAAGTCGTAATGGTCAAGAGGGCTATCAGGCTTTTGTGCTATCTTGTCTTAGTCTCCTGAGAAGGCTTAAACGTTATTTAGAGAGATGAGATGATGAACTAAAGGTAAACTAAACTCAGTGTAAAAAGATCTCTTCACTAACAGTGGAGTTGCAGCTTTGCCAATTAATTATGCTTTCTTTCTTTCTTTCTTTCTTTCTTTCTTTCAGAGCACTTGTATTCTTGGGGAGCATGGCATGACAGCTGTTTGGGGGAGCTGGCTAGTGATTTTACATCAGAATCTGGCTTCAGCACACTGTTGTTTTTAGTGAGGTGGAAGGGGTCAGGAAGGGCCATGGTAAGAAGGAACCCAGGGCTAGGGAGTAAGGATGCTAAGGCGACAGAACCTGGGAAAGTCATGACTGAGAAGGGGGAGCAGTCACATTTGAATCCAGACGCGATCTCTTGCTTTATGCTGTCATAACCTTCTTTCATCTTCAAACTTTCAGTGTATTAAATTTTTTGTTGGCTAATACTTATAGCCCACTATTACTAGTGTTTTAAGGGAATTGTCCATGCTTGGTTAGGAGCAATGGTAGAAAAGTGGCAGCAACAGAGTACCCAGTTTGGGGAAGACCAGACATCACCCATAGGAGAGCAAACTGCCACTGAGACCAACTGACATGCAGCATCCACCAGCCCCATGACATTCCTGGAAGAGGTTCAATGAAACACTGAGCTGACTCTGGTGGCCAAATGCATGGGGGCTTGGCTTACCGCCATTTAGAAATTCAAGGGCGCCCCAAGTGTACCAAGTTCTGCAACATCTCAATCCAAGTTTGGGAGAGGGAGATACAAGAAGCCATTCTTTTCTAAGTATTTACTATCTGAGTTCCCACAATTATGACATGCAAGAAAAGAAATGTCATCCGAACATGAAAATGTTCACTGAGAGTCTGCCCGCTTACCAAATTAATGCTCACTCATACATCCTTCCCTCCCTTAACAAGTCCCTTCAGGCTGAGGTCAGTTCGGACATCTGTCAGATATGATGGGGTAGTACAAGTGCAAACCAACAGCAAAGTTCATAAAATCAAAGAAAACAGAGTTGGAAAACTTCACATGCAATGTCTTGGACCAGTAAAGAGCAAATGGAGCTGGAGTAGATAACAAAGAAAAAATTACAAGGATGATGAGACAAGATAGGTTCTTTATGAGAAAATGATTTGCATATTGAAGGATCCATAGAGGTCCTTGGGAAAATGAATGAAGCCCTTAAATATTAAACACATAGTCTCTTAACTGAGGTGCTGTAAAGTAAAATTGTGAGGGATGTGGTTCATGTGAACAAATTACCATGTTGGCATAAAGAATACACCAATGGCAAAATCAACACAATTCTTTTTTCCTTCTAAAAAAAGTAGCACATAATCAATTTTTTGTTTTATGTACAGCTAAAATAATTTGTTTTCATAATTTCATTTGTACAATGCAATCACAATGAGACCCTTTAAGTTTATTTCTTTTCATCTTTTTTTTGCAATACAATTTTACTGAAAATCTTTTCCACTATCTACTATAAAATTTTGATCTTCATTTTAAGTAGACTCAGTTTAAATGGCCTTTTGCTGGTGACCATAATCCTGACATGACAAGGCCCTCTGTGCTGACAGTTCTCCTCCAAGTCTTTCTCCATTCTAGGAGGGTGCCTTCAGGGTTAGGGTGGTTGGACCTCCCAGGAAACTTCAGTCAGACATGGAGGTTCCACTCTCAGGATATACAGGGGGGCTTGGCCAATTCAAATGGACTCTGGGTATTTATTCCTCAGCGTGGCAGCCACATACCTTCCCCAGGTGCCCACTGCAGCTTGCACAGGCTGTCAGAAAACTCTCTAGCCAGGCTGAGTGATGTGGCACCAGCCCAGGGTACTTGGCTTGGCCCCTGCCAGACTAACTGCAGGCAAGGAGGGGGCACTTACTTGGCCGGTGGGGCTCTGGGGTGCCTGTGGCTCTCCAGGGGGCTCCTCGTCCTCGGGAATGTGGGGCATGGCAGCCTCCTGGCGGGAGTGGCCACGTGTGCCCGGAACCTCCACGGCGTCAGCCCCAAGATGCTCCAAGAGGCCTGGGCTCCGCAGGCTGAGGAGACGCCAAAAGGACAAGTCAAATCCACTCCCATCCCTGACCCAGGCTGGATTCCATTTCCAGGAGCCATGAGCTGCAGAAAAAGCCTGCTTGAGTTTGCATCAACACCAGAGGTTGGACTAGGCTAGGAGAGGGCATTTGGAATTGCATTTCCTCCTGTTCATTTGCTCTGTTTACAAAGTCAGAGATGACCTTAGAGATTTTCCATCTAATTTGGTCCTTAGAGTAAACACAGCTATCCCAGAAGGGAGAAAATTGCTTCAAACTCCTCAAAGCCATAGCTAATGGAGGACATTCCATTGGGATCAGATTTGTACTTATGTATCATTTATTAAGCACCTACTACATACCAGGCACTATCCTAAGAGCATTTCCAACATCACCTAATTTAATCCTCATAATGATCTCTGATGTAGGTATTAGTATTCACATTTTATAGAAGAGAGAATGGCTTCAGAGAGTGGTAGCCATTTGCCAAAATAATATAAAGAACCAAGCATTTGAATTCCAATCTTCCAATTTTGCGGCCAAGGCTCTTTTCACTCTACCACATAGCCTTCCTTCCCTGGGTTGAGTAAGAGGAGGTTGTTTCTTGACTTTGTACCCCATGGCTGGCCTCATGTCCATCAGCATCTTTTCTGACCCTCGGTATGGGGCTCTCTCACTTGAGGGCAACCTCAATTCTGGAGGCTCCGCCAGGGTGGATCTTGTGTACCTTCTGCAGTGTCCACCTGGAGCAGCCTTTCTTTGCTTCCCCAGAAACCAGGCTTATCCTGTCTCATGGTGTAGCAAACTTGAGGCCCAGCTGGTATTGACCCAGTCAGCATAATCTCACTTATCTCACCATAGTGATTGGCTCAGGGATAGAAAATAGGTCCACTGTAAACCAGTGAGCACACTGCAGTGTTCTGGGACCCAGGTGCTTTATCTTGCTTTGGGTGGTAGAACACACAAATGTAAAACCTGATGTTACTGATGCCATTTTGTTTCCATTTGGAAGTCCAGACTAAGGATAAAACTGACACACATAGAGAAGGCAGTAGGGCCAAGACACTTGCAGAAAAAAAGAAGGTTCATCTCTGACCAAAGTTCACCTGAAGCCTGAATTCTTTCTGTACTCACCAGTTATACAAACAATTAAATGTCTTAGTGTTTAAGTAAATTTGGGTTGGTTTTACTTATACCTAGTAATTTATAACTACTTGTCCTAACTTGTAACTACTAACTACTGTTACTTATAACTACTAACTATTTTTTCATGTTTCTCACCAATCAAGAGGTCTAGGATCATGATCTCTCCAACAGACCTGAAACAGTGGGCCTGGCTCCTCTGCTTCTTCTTAGAAAAGGCCAGTAATGTGAGGTTTCAGTCTGGAGACAAAGGATAGCAAGGTATAAAGAACACAGGCCTTGGAACCTTATACCTGGATTTGAGTTCCCACTCTGCCACTCATAGGCTGTGTGGCTTTGAACATTGGCTTTACCTCTGAGCCTCACTTTCCTTGTCAGAGGAACAGAGATAAGAATGTCTCCCATGCAGGAATGTTCTAAGGATGAAATGATATAGAGCACTGAGCACAGAGTAGGTGCTCACAGAGGCCACCTGATTGGAGATCTTCAGCCCAGAAGCTCAGCCAGAGTCCATAGGCCTTTACCTAGCCTCTTCCCCTACTAAACACCTCCAGGTCCTCTTTCCCTAATGGGGTGGGAAAAGCCTTCAGGGACCTGCAGAACAAGCAACCAGGCTAGTTCTATAACTTCAGAGATTTCCTGAAGTCGCTGATCTGCTAGTCAGCAGATGAAAGCCACCAGATGCAGACCCTGCCCTCAGACACAGTCAGGGGCTACTGGGACGCACACAGGAAAAATAAAGAACACTGTCATTTACTGAGTACCTACTATGTCCTAGGTCCTATGTAAGGGTGCTGGCTGCAGGAAACTATAGGTGGAAGTCAGAAAGCCCTACCACCTCCCATGATACTAGATATTCTTCTGGTCCCACAGGGAAGGCCCAAGGGCCTAGAGCCAGAGGGTTGTGGGCAGGCTCAGATCTGACATCAGCCACAACTCTGACAGATGCCCCTATCCAACATACACAACGTTGACTGAGCTTCCTGAGGAAGGCAGGGATTTGATTCATCATTGATAACTAGAAGAGAAATTGCTTGTTGACTGGTATTTAAAGAACTAGAGAACTTTAGCCATGGGGTTGGTCAATGTGACCACCATCTTGACTTCTATCAGTCTCGGCAGTGGAATGGTAGCCCCATTCAGCTCTCAAACAATTGGGGTGACCTCTGCTGGTCAACTCAAGAAGTCTCATCTCAAGTAGGAAATCCATGAACTAAATCATTTGTTCATTCACCACACTGACTTTACACAGGCCCTACCAGGCCCTGTGCCAGGTGCTGGTGACTAAAAGATGATGAAGATGTGGTACTCCTTGGGGAGCAGAGTCCAGTGGTTGCAGGCAGTATGAAACAATGGAACTGTTAAGACTTTGAAAGTAAGATAAGTGGCAGGATCTCAGAAAAGGATCCCCAACTCTGAAAATTGGGACAGGTGAGATAAAGTTTTAGACTAGATCCATGTTAGAAATGGTGTTTGAACTGAACCTTGAATACTGAAATGCCGAGTGAAATTTCTCTGAACAGAATAGCTAGAGGAGAAGGTGAGACAGGAAGGGAGAAGCCCTACTGAACAGATTCAACCTGTCTCTTGGGAATGAGACTGTAAGACCAGGGCATACTATGTGACTTATCCCAACCAGCCACTGTATGGATGAAATAAGCAACAGATCTACCCAAAGGTTGGCTCTGTGATTAATTTCTATTACCTTTACTTGGATTTCAGCAGCAGTGATATCAGTGGTGCTGGACAAAGTATATGGTCACAGGGGTTGACATTAGCAAAAGACTATTCACAAACCCCAATTATTCTGGGAAAGTTGGTGCACTTCCCTAGAAACCTCTTAAGCAATGATGGGTTTATGTGAAGGTTCAGCCTGTCTTAATAGTAATATGGTTCCCAAAACATGGGAGGTGACAGTTCTACTTTCTTTTCCACCTTAATCTATACGAAGTATATTGCACTCTGAGTGGTAAGAAGGATTCAGACAAATTGGAGTATGTTCCAAAAAGGGGAAGTAATATGCAGGAAGCAAGAATTTGTCTTTAAAGAACTAAAGATCTTTAGCCTGGAAAATAGATGGTGCAGGGAAAAAATAAAAGTGCTTCTCAGACACTTGAAGTTCATTCCTGTAATTCTGTTGTCCCCAAAGGATAAGTGCATGACCATTGAATGAAAGGTCAGATCAAGGCAAGGGAATCCTCTCTAGTGGTTGGAACTATTTGAGATGAAACAGGCTACTTTTTAAGGTAATAAATTCCCCACTCCTGGGAGAGTTCCAACAAAGTCCAGGGTAATGGTCATAGGATTCCTAACACACTCCAGGGGCCATTTTCAACCCTAGATATCACTGAATTCTTTGACTCTTCCTAGGGACAAGAAACCACGAATGTAATGGTCCCATTTCATACGATTCTCGGATCATGGTATCCTAAAGTCACATAAAAAAATATCTCATTTTCTGTCCCTCCTCCCCTCCTGCTCTTCAAGAAAGACCTTAATTTAAGTCAGTCCCTCAGTCAGAAAGCAAAGCAAAACAGAAACGAATTAAGTGAGACAAGCACTAAGAGATGTAAGTTGCTGCAGGACAAAGCAGAGTGGAGGCTGGCTGTGGCCCCACGTTTGACAAACCAGAACCCCGAACCCCTCAGGGGGAGCCCCAGCAGCCCTGCCTGCCAAGACCATTCCCACGCTGTTCCTGCCCTGTTTGCTTGCTCTCCCGTCCATTATTATAAACTCTCTGCTTAAAATAGCAAGGTAGCAGCAGAGTCCTTCCCCCAGGGTGACATCTGGATTCTGCTGGAGCTTGTGGGCACATGGACCTTGCATCCATCACAGCAAAGTTAGGAATATAATCTGCAGGAAGTGGTGATCTAGAGCACTGACCCATAAAAGGAAAAAATATTTAGTAATGTTTGGTCTCTGAGCTGCTCCTTCTTTAACCCATTTTCGGGGCCCTTCTAACTACCTCTTTAGCCTGGTGGGTAAAGGGTTAGACAGGTCATTGTCAAGAGCCAGTCAGCTTTTTGGATTCTACTCATTCTGTCCCCAGCCAGTGCTTAATAATATAGTTTGGTCCATTTTACAGGAAGGAAAACTGAGGTGCAAAGGAGGGAAACAACTTAACTGGGTCCAGTAACCTTTGTACCTAGTGCAAATTACCTAAGCCTCTGCTGGGATAACACTCCAGTCATTTGTGTAACTGATAAAGCCAAACGTCTCTAATCCATCTTTAAATATTTTATCTGCCCCCAACCATGCTCATGAAAGAAAGCAAACTACTAGACTTTTCTTCATTCTCTCATTCATTAGATATTTCTAGTTTGCCTACTGAGTGTCACATACCATGCTAGGTGCTTTCAAGTGCTATCTTGCTTAACCCCTGTGAGATGGGTTTTATTATTTCCATTTTACATATGAAAGAAGTAAGGATCAGAGAGGTTCAGTAACTTGCTTGAGCTCCCACAGCAAATAAGCGCCAGGCCAAGGATTATAATGCAGGCTAGTCTGACCCCAAACCCATCATCTCCCCCTCCTCTCCTCTATCTCCTCCACCTGGAGTTCTGCTAAAGTACAGTAGAACCCAACAGAGGAACCTGCCACACAGAGAACTGGAATGTACATTCCCAGTGGAGCCATGGGTGGTGGTGGGGAGGCAGGGCAGAGGAAGCAGCAGCTTGTCAGGCAGGGGTCTTATGAGGGCAAAAGTGTGGGCCTACAGTTTGAGGTTGCAGGACTCCCACTGTAGGGTAACAAATGCACCCATTTACTTATCCATCTATCTGTCAGGCTACCCATTCACCCACATGCCTTCTGACTTCTCCATTCATACAACTGTCCATTTGTTTGCCTTTGAAACTTTCACC